TTCTGAATTGTTAAATATATATTTATAAGAAACCAGGGTGAATACTATATAAAAATGGAATAAGGCGCCTTTTAAATGAACAAAGCCGTGTACAAGTGTTTTATAGATAACTTCTTCTATTATAATATATATAAAAGCTTAAACGCTTACGTCAACCTTTCTATTGTCCAATTTATGATGAATGTCCAATGAATGATGAAATAAATTATCAAAGTAACTCATCACCATCATTTTACAATCACGAATAAACATATTTTAACATTCATAAAATTAATAGGATGTATATACAATATAATATAATGCCTTTGTATTCAGCAATCAAAAAAACTTTTCTCTTTTACGGAATTTGTAATAAAAAACGTTATTTTTCTAACAGCTTTTATAATGTTGAGAAATAATAAAAATGTCATCACACGAGTTACGAAATACGACGTAAAAAAATAATATTAATAAGAATTTTTGTGTTTCAATATTTGTTTAGCTTCTGAGTAAATTAATCTTCAAAGAATAGATATAATGAATTTTCTTAAAAATAGAAATAACAAAGAAATTAAAAGCTCTTTTAAGAAGGCTTCTGTGTAATATCTTCTTTATATAAATGATTTATATTTCTTTTCAACGTAGTCGTAAACAATATCTCATTTTTTCGTCTTGTTAAATATTGTATAACAAATAACATAGTAGTAACAGATAAGGGTGATTTCTCTTAATTCTCTAGCACTTTTTTTATTGACTGTGATTTATTTCAGTTCAACCTATACGTGAAACGCTCTGTAAATGTTTTAAACGCCGTGAATGCCAATAAACATCTGATAGACAGGCGCGCTCCCAAACACGATTCAATTTAGATTCCTTCCATCGATATTTTACAAGCCTCGATAGATGTCATGCATCCGCTACATACATTATATATCTTATGTATTTAGTTTAATAATTTTTTTCACAGAACATACTATGTACAGAGAAATAATAGTAATCCATTAAAAGTGTCATAACTCCTTAATTCGACGTTTACCAACCATTGTCTCCTCTGAATCGCGTCCATTCAGTATCAAATTTTATTCTTTATACAGTCTTTTATAAAACGCGATTACGACACGATAAATTTGACAATGAAAATATATTAAAATTGAATTTCATATAAGAATACAATAAAAAATACATTATTCTTTTAATATACTCAAAACAGTGATGCAAGACTTGTAAACTAAAGTGTACGTAGATACAGATATTTATACTTCTTTCAATGAAAATAATTCGTTTTTATTTTCTTAAAGTACTCAAAATAATACGAGAAAAATTGCGTTGTTAAAAGTGAAAGTACGACAAAAAACAAATACACTTTATGATAAATATAACCATTCAGATGTCAGATTTAGTCGTAAAGTGCAAAAGTAGTGTCAATTTAAAACCGACTATGTGTCTAATGATATATAATTAAGTCTAATCTAATAAATCTTTTGAATAAAACCATTTGTTTCGTTTTATCATTTACTTTAAATTAATACCAGTCCTTTGTTAAAATTTTATTTTGGTATATTAAACAAGTTTCAACAATAGGCTAATGAAAAGTATTATGCCTATATAATAATTACATTTTAGTTATTTAAGGAAATGTCTAAGAGTATTTAGACACCACTGACAGACGGTGAAGGAAAACATCGTGAGGAAACCTGAACTTATAATTTTACAATTATACTCGTAAGTTTGAAATCACCAACCCATCTTGAGAAAGCGTGGTGATTAATGTTCAAACCTTCTCCATGTAAGAGGAGGCCTTTGTTCAGCAGCGGGCTCTGATAGGCCGATGACGAATAAATGTCTTAAGAAAATATGAAAAAAAAATTCAAATACCAATACGTTAAAAAAATATGAAACTTATAAAACAAGAACACTCAATTCATCTTACATACTTTCTAATATCTCTAACTTTTTCATAGCTACAGAAGATACGCATAACTTTTATATAACCGACAAAAATCACCAAAGTTTTATAGTCAAATAATTATCCGCCGAAGCCATCAATAAGCTCTTTGCGTTGGTAATCGATCTATCAAATCCCTCAAATTACTCTATACCTACACCATTTAAAATACGTCTTCTCAGTAATGAAGTAAAAAGCGTAATAATCCTTAGAATTATTAAGTACAGTATACGGTTTATATTACACATTAAATTATAATAGCAATCAAAGTTTGAACAACAAAACATTGCCGTAGGATCATTATTGTAATTTTTACGATTACGTGTTCATATAAAATGTAATAAAAACGTGTTTAATTCTATTTTTGTATAAGAACCGTCTTAAAATGCGCAAGCTTTTATATGTTATTAATGTAACATGCATAAACAACTTGGTTTACCCTCTTTTTTGTATGAGGCTTAGATCAATAACATCAACTTTAAGGGTTTGTATGGCTTTGCTACTCCAATTTGAACTATGGAAGTACTTCCCAAACTTTTTCCTTTTAACGACTATCACATATAAAAGCTCAGCTTTTGAAAGTAAAAATGTATTCATAATTTTATTATCAAATTACCTCACAGCACCATACTTTGGATTTACAATAAAAAAAATCTAATTCAAAATCGACATTACCATTTAATAATGCTATAGTATGTATACTTAGCAAGTAAGCTTCTTTCTTATTTGATATCATGACGAATCCCTTAGGACTTCCTATTTGTTCAGAAAAACAGTCAACCAATTATATTTCATTATATTCTCGGTTAGCAATATGAATGAAATAACTTTTTAGTTTATATTTTGTTATCATAACTGTATTTTTATAGAGTCTGTCATCCGGGCTTCACATGGACACGAGATAAGGAATGCACTTATCGGCTAATAACTTGCAAATGATAAAACATGGATCAATACCAGATAATGTGGAATACGTTATTAAATCAATTTTATTGCACTCCAATCTATTCCGGACAATAAAACGACGATACAGAAAGAGTCATTTAAAATAAACATTTATTGGGTACTTTGTGAAAGCATTAAATTGTTTCGTAGTTCAGATGTATATTGCATGTTTTCGGTAGAAAGATATTTTTTTAACATTCTACTGATGTTATGATTACCATTTATATTTTTATGTATGAGTATGCGTGCGTGTATATGTGTGAGTGGGTGTGTCTATGTGTGTTTATATATATGTGCGTGTGTGTATTTCTTGATTACGTTTAAAATATAAAACTGCAAGAAAGTCAAAGGTTCAAAGGTCTTAAAATAATAAGCTTCTAATTCATTCGTAAATCTTTGAAATATTATATCTCATTTAAAATATAATTTGATATATTTTGTTTCGTTACTTACTAACTTATTTTTTTCTTGAGTATATTTTAAACTCAATACAAATGCGATAAATACAATTATGCACAATCTTGAGCCCAAATGTAAAGAATTGAAGAGAGTATTCATTGATGGATACGCAATTAACAACTTGCGAGAATTTATAATCTAACACTATACCTGCGAAGTAAGGAAAAAGAAATTTGATAAAAGAAACGTTTTCTCCTTCCAAGTTTAGACAATAGTGTTTGTTACTCAGTGATGAGTATTTGAATAGCATTATACTTCAAATAAGCGGTGGAAAAATTCCAAATAACGATCTCGAGTTTACAAGTGAACCTTAATCAATTACCAAAAACATTCCTTTGTGGCAGATTTGTTAAAAAATAATTGATAGTCACACAAATTTATACGAAACTAATAATCTTCTGGTTGTTGAGTGATTTTATCATTACTTTACTTTACTTACTTATCCTTTCTAAATACATATAATTAAGTTAAATTTATCTTTTCTAAATACTATAAATAAGTACATATAACTACTCTAAGGTAATAAGAAAGTCTATGATTTCTTTTCGTAACTCCACAATCGAATAATTATGATAATTCTCTTTGTTTATTTTTCTTTGATTGTGCATCAACGACGTCCAGTCTAGTCTAGTCAGTGGTGGCCTAGTGGTTAAAAGGCTCGTCTCTCTTGCAGGAGGGCGCGGGTTCGAGCCTGGCCCGGGCAAGTACCAATGTGATTTTTCCGAATCATATGTACTTTCTAAAAGTATTTAGACATCACTGATTAATGTTGATTCCCAAAAGAGGGTTGATGTCAGGCAGGCGGCCGGTCGTAAAAACAATTAGCCAAAATTATTCACAACATGTAAGGCAGACCCTGGCTAAAGCTGGGAAACTGCCTGGTAGAAGAAGAAGAAGACGTCCATTTTAGTATTTTAATGCAAAAAAATTATATTTTTTGTAGATTTTTCAACTTAACATTTTCATTAAAGCCTACAACTATTAATTTGACACTCAGCATAATATTCTTTTATTATATCATTACGTCATAGAGCTTTCATATGACAAAGCGAATGCAATAATATGCATTTTTATCCCTTGAAGAGTTCCACTTTCAATTCATTCAGGTCTCATTTCAATTTATATGGGTCAAAACTGGAAAAACCTTTCTAATATACCGTCAATGCAAACTGTAACCAAGAATAAAAAGTAAAAAAAAAGATTTAGTGAACTTTACGTCTAAAGGAAAGGAAAGCTCGTAACGTGCTGATATTAATTGTATGTGTCTTCAAGATATATTATTGTAGAAGTATTTTTATAATACAATGATAACAAAAATAATGAATTATGTGAATGAATGAGTGAATGTGATAAATGAATATAGTGAGTTAATTTACGTGTATAGATTTTTGTTGCCTTTTCACTCAAAAATAAACGGATTTTTAAGAACCTTTACATATATCAGCATAATTCATGATATATAAAATGTAATTTATTTTGAAATTCCTTGTAGTTACTGCAAGATCAAGGCGTACCATTCGTGTCGTAGATGAAGTTACTTAACAGCCTATAGATGTCGCTGGTGGTTGCTAACCATATCTATTGTTTTAACAGACGTAAAATAATTTCCTCTTAGCTAAGTTCTGAAGTTACAGACATAATCTAGTAATAAATATAGCACTTTAATTCTCACGCAATAGTGGATGAACGAGCTGTTGTTAGATCTATGCTCGTTGCTATAAAATCTATATCACAACGGTCCTTCGAGCACAGTTGACGCTTCATAAATATTACGTTCAAAGCCCATACTTCATTCATCTTGCCCTCATCTCGTGGGCGTTTAGGTGAATCCAGAAAAAATATTACTTAAAATGATACGAGGATGACAACCTTTCATCCAACGTTCCTAGATTCCTATCAAAATAAAATTATATTTTCTTTTTTTTGCACTTATGGATTATTCATTTTATGATCAAACTTTTATATATCAGCTAAAATCCAGTTTTATCTCCTACCTACACAAAATATTTGTAAAGAACGAGAAGATATTCCAAATTTAATCCAATCTTTGTTAATATCTTCCCATTGAATTTGAATTTTTGAATGTCGTTGTTCATTGAACATCAAAAAGGAATTCAATAATATTCACTGAAGTCTTAAAGAGCGTTGGTAAATTTTTTCATGTATGTTTGGTAATATTACATAAATATTTTAATAAATTTTAGGTGTTTTAGAACATTTTATACTATCACATTAATAGTAACCGCTCTCTAAATTATTGCAGTTTAAAATAGTTGGTTTATTCTGAGTGCCTTGTATGTTTAATTTCCTTTTAAATAATAAAAACTGACAAATTTACGTGATACCAAGTTTGTAATTTCGATTGTTAAATTCTTAAGATAATTCATATTTTAACTCTACACTTTCAAATACATAATAAGTCCGTAATGTTTTTTTAATTTCATCTTAGGTCCCTTAAAAAACTTTTTTCATTTGTGAGCTAAATGATTACATTATATTTCAAAGAATGCAACGAAGACTTCATCGACACGAATAAGATTTGAAACTTTACTTCCGTGATATCGCGTTTTCGTACATGATAATTTAATCAGTCTCCCAAGATATACTGGATTAAGGACTATTTCACATAAAGTCATTGACACTACTTCTCCTTAAAATCTAATACTCGTTTTCTAATTAAATAAACTAACTGCTCTTATTGAGTTTTAGTGGAAACTTACACAGCAGGTCAAACGCTTATATTTCAATTAAATAATTGTTAAATTAGTCTTTTTAATTACAAGCATTCGTGGCTATATAAATTCTGCCCAAATATGTAAGTCATTTGTCTTACAGTTTTGTTGACCTTTTACGTGTTGTAAAACAAAAAAAGATGATTGACCACCATCGCTCCTAAATACATTGTGAGTTACAATACGTCACGCTAGGGACTATAACGATTTTAAAAAAAGTTAAGTAAGTAGGGATAGAATTATAGAAAATAATTACTCAGAAGATAAGTAGTCATGACACAACTGATTTTTACTCTATTGTAGATTTATTAGATCCTACCGGTAAATTGTTTATCTGAAAATGTTTTTTTTGAGTGTAGGTATATGCTTATTACATACATGAATTTACATCTTTACTATGCAGTGTTACACGGCACCTAAAATAGATTTTAATGCTCGAATCTTCTACCCTATTTCATTAACGGTAAGGTTAATTTTTACTTGACTATGATATAATAGTATAACAATAAAAGCACTTACAAAAGGAAGTCTTGTTCCCAGCATGGAGTCGGCCCCTTCACTGTCACCGTCGTCGACTTGACATTCTGTAGTTTGAGTGTCACGTACGTGTTGAATTGGGTTGCTAGAGAAAAACAAAGCGTATGCCAATAACATAAAGTTGTTTTTGCATTTTTACAAATGATAACACTTGAAGTTATTCTGAGACCTAGGTTTGTACTTTTTTCTCTTTTTTCAAATTAGTTTCATCAGACAATGCAAATTCTTTATTTAATTATTATGAAATGCAGTGAACGGTTATTTAAGAGAGATATGGGTCATCAAACTCACCTTGTATACCAACATAGCGCGCCTTTTTTACTGAAACAAAACAAAAATATGTTAACAAAGTATTTGTATTTATTTCCAATACTAATTCAGTTTTTCAAATTAAACAAGAATAAATCATCATCAGGTAGAGCTTTTATCATTCGTTACAGTGATAGATTTATAATTTAAGGATTAGAAATAGTGTAACAAAACATCAATAAACATATCTTGAAAGCTTATTTAAATCAAACTAAGTTCTTTTGATAAAAAAACTTACATTCATTTAAATGGTGGGTACACATGAAAATCATAGATCTCATATTACCTTCAAAGCAATACTCATAAAAATGAGATCGTATTACATGAAATACACCTACTAATACGTACGAATCTTAAACTAAAATATTTATGAGTAAATAAAACAGAATAAAAATAAACAAAAACAGAATACAAAATCCATCACAGAAGTTCGCATTAATTCATGTTGCAGAGCTACATCTTAATTATCGAAGTGTCTTCCTTTAAATGAAATGTCTTCAATTTGGGCCTAAAAGATTCTTATCGAGAATTTTATTTAAATATCAATTTTGCAATCGAATAGATTGATATTATTTTGATATAATCTTTAATTATATCTCGATTATATTGTTACTGATAAATTATGTGACCTAAAAGACATTTAATGTATAAACCAATCAAGTTTACTGTTTATTGAAACAAAACTAATTATAATTATTTTTAACAACACTCCCGACGTTTTGGTTACTTTAACTTCAACCGTGATCACGGGTAGACGAGGTCTCAACGGTGAATTAAACCTGAAAAATATTAGTTTTGTTTCAATGAATACTCGGGAAAAATATAAGATGTAATTATGATCTGATTATTACTAGCATTAAGCTAATAATGTTTGTAGTTTTCCTAATAACTTGTAACGCAGAACTACATTTTCTATAACAAAACATTTAATTACCTATGGCATGTTTTTCTTTTATCTGTGTGTACATGTGAAGATATTCTTATTTAATAATACAATATTATTAATCCCCAGTAAACTCCTAATTAATAATACCAATTCAGAACACTCCAGTAACTTAGGCTACACTAAATCCATTCTAAGGTTATAGGCTCCGTTGTATATTGTTTAATTATAATAAGCTTAACAAACAATCAACTCTAAGCACATCGAAATAAAGTCGAAAGTTATTAACAATTTATTTGTTAGTCCATTTGTAATTATTAAAATAAAAACTAATCTATTTTTCGATTTTCAATAATATATATATTTTTTAAATTTTTCAATTCAAATTCTATTTTAAGTAATAATTTTAATAATGGAATAAGTTAAGGTCGATATAATAAAACAATTTTAAAATAAACATTTAACATTTCGGTTGAAAAGCGTCGGTGGTTGAAACAAAAACAGTGGGAAAATTCTACGGAATTATCGTTGAATGATTTGTAGGCAAAACAATCACTAACGAATAAGTTATAAATTAACATTTATTAACATAAATCGAGGTGCTTATTTTAAATAGCAAGTATATATATATATATATATATATATATACTAACACAAATCCCATTTGCTAATAGTTATAAAAGGTATACAGAAATAGTATGTAATTTTATTAAATTTACTAAATGATATCTCCTTCATAAAACACGTATATAATTGGAAATTATAAAGCATATTTTAAAAATTCATAAAATATTTATTTAAGCTTATATTTTTATATCCCACTCCTTTCTTATATAACAAAACTTGTGTAAAAAAAATATATTACCCTTATTTCCAATATTTTACTTAGTCTTTGCGAATAAATAGTCTATATTTTTTTATCTGACGATTGAACGTTGAAGCTTGTTTTTTTCACAACATGTAACATGTATTTACGAGTGTACCTACTATAGGAACTAAGGTAATAATAAATTAGTAGGTTCTTTTGAAATTTGGTTAGATTAGGTTAGAGAGAGGAGCTTGAATAGTGGAGGTGAGCATTTGACGCGCGTTAGACAGGGGCCCCTTAAACCTACACCTGGGTCGCAAGTCTCAGGCACTGTTGAAGCTCCTCTCCCTGCAACAAGATGGACGCGGTACCTGCACGGTGAATGCATGGAATGCTGAGAGGTTTCGTCTGTCTTGGATCTTCCTTCAACTCTTTACGCTGACGTACAGAGCTCACTAATTTTAATTTAAAAACTTGGGACCAATAATAAATTGTAAGCTACAAGAACCAATTACGATATCTACGAATAAATCTGATGAAACTAGTTCAATGAGGTCTTTAAAAAATCGTATATCGGTTAATCTCCGTTAACCGGTTGATTACGATAATGTCCGGACAAAGCCGGCGTTGTAACCAATTAGATGGCGAGATTAGATGCCAATCTACTAGAAATACGGCTGCAATATCTAGACTTCATTAATAAAAAGTTTTGAAATAGTTTTCATTTTTACATTTCATACCTTATTTCTTTAGTCACGTAAGATTTTCAATCTTTAAAAGATTCTAACAAATTGTCTATTCAATATATAATATATGTGTTATTGAAATCTGTACAAAACTGTATAAATTTGTGACTGAAATATGTAGTTACTCTTTTGTAAAGAGAATGATTGAAATTTTCTTTATCTGTATTTATGACTTAATAAATATACAAATGAAATAAAAATAACAGAATATTATTTCATATAATACAAATAGTCTTCAATGGGATAATTTTTTTGGGAAGCTCGTTAACATTTTCAAGTGTTGGTCCTGAATTGTAAAGTAAATAATATTTTATTCAATGAATCATTAACCTACATTTCGACGCTTCCTATTCAAATTAGCAAAGCTTTTGTCATGACAAGTAAATGTGTCAATAAAGTCGATAGTAGCTTTTGTATTGTTTGATTTGGTTTGTTTACTAGAACCTTAAAACAAATTGTTTTAAATTATATATTTATAATGCAATATTGCGAAGTCAGTTTTGGCCTCGTGGTTAAAAGGCTCGCCTCTTATGCATGAGGGCGCGGGTTCGATCCTGGCCCTGGCAAGTATTGGTGATTTTTCCGAGTCATATGTACTTTCTAAGAGTATTTAGACATCACTGATTAATGCATTCCCAAAGAGGGTTGATGTCAGGCAAGGGGCCGGTCGTAAAACAATTAGCCAAAACCATTCTCAACATGTAAGGCAGACCCTGGCTAAAGCAAGGAAGTTGCCAGGTAAAAGAAGTATTTCATATTGCAAATATCACAGTATAAATAGT